TGGCAGCCTCAAGAGCGCCGCCAGGCCCAAACAAAGTGTCGTTTGGGCCTACCCGCTGGGCTGAGTGCAAAATCAGGCCTTTAGGGCCTGTGACCCTCAAAGGTCGGGCCTTTAGGCCCTGGTGTGTCCCTCTGGCCCTAAGTCGGGTCCGGTAGGACCCGTGTGACTCGAAGATGTAACAGTCTGTCTCCTTCCAGATTACTGACCCTATAGGTACCTCGTGTACTTCAGTCCCCGCCTCTGCACCTGTCTCTGTGCCTGCCTCCACACCTGTCTCCATGCCCGTTTCTGTGTGTCTCCGTGCCTACCTCCATGTCTGTCACCATGCCTGCTTTAGTCTTCATTCCCCCGCATGCTGCACTAACACCTTGTGACCTCCTTCTTTGTGAGATCACTGACACAGTTACACTTGGTTGTGGAAAGCATCGACTTTGTCGACATGCACTTAACTGTGATGGTGAACGGCCCACAATGGTCATGGCCTGCAACCGGCATGCCCTCTGCCGTGCATGCTTCAGAGGTATGGTCGATGCTAGCCGTCATGGTTCCTGCTGTGACGAAGTTGCTTACCTGAATGGTTTTCGTCCTATAGATCAGCGGGAGGGCTGCTACCATCGCCCGCATCCTTGTGATAGTTGTCCTATCTGTCGTGAGGGTCTTACTTAGACGTACCTTGCACCCTGACAAAAATGTGCAGGTGCGCTGAAAAGAGTGTACAAGAATGTGCAAAGGTGCAAAACCCTTCACTAAAACTGCAAAACAGTGAAGACTGCAGTAAAAGAAGAACATAAGTTTGTGTCGTTTTACTTTGTTTGTACCCTGCACCCTAACACCCTCAAAGAAAAAGTCCGAAGGGTGAAAATGAGAATAAAAAAATGAAGAAGGAAGTGCAGGTGCGCTGAAAAATGGACGTAGTAGACTCTTCACCAAAACTGCAAAACTGTGAAAGAAAGAAGAATGCAGTAAAAGAAAGAAGATGTTTGTGTCACCCTTATTTTATTTTATTTTTTTCTCCCTCTGCCTATCGATTTTCCTTTTCTGCTCCTCTCTCCCTTGTGTTTGACACCTCTTCCTTCACTCTGCCTCTTTCCCATAGCGTGCAAGTGGGCTGTTATGGCATACGGGGATGGGGGCAGCTCGCGCTCAACTTCATCAACGTGGCGAGCCTTGTACGTTGGAGGCACAGTGGAGGAGGCGTTAAGAAGACTGAGAAACTGAATGATTTCAATGTGTCGTTGTTTTTTATTTTTATCCTTTGATTCAGTGTAAATAATTTTTGTAAAAGACTGAAAGAAATAATAATACTGTGAAACAGAGTGTCATTCTGGTTTCTGTCTCTTTGCCTGTCTGTCCTTTCATTTTTCTTTTCTTTGCTCGTCTTATTTCTTCTTCTACTTCACGTGCTCATGCTCTTAGTCAATAGTTATGTGACAAATATATATATATATATATATATATATATATATATATATCGTTTGTTGTCTTCTTCTCCCTCTCTGCCTACGGTTTACCGGGCAGTTCTATTTGACGATATATATATATATATATATATACGTTCAGCTCCTGATGAGTTGGTGGAACTCCGATGAAACAGTTTGTCACAGCCTTTGTTTGTTGTCCTCTTCTCCCTCTCTGCCTACAGTTTATCGGGCAGCTAGAGAGAGAGAGAGAGAGAGAGAGATGTTATATGCAACGAACCTCTTAGTTCAACACCAATGAGCGCACATAATCTCCACATGCATGTATGAGATCACACGAGAGTCACACTGAAAAACCAGAGAGATTAAGACCAGTTAACGCAGCTTATGAATTCCAACAAGTTAAACAAGAGCAATAAGAGTTCGAGTCACCAGCGCACAACAGCGCATAACATAGGTAATCAAACATCCAACATGATCACCCAGGTAAGTATCTTCTTCCTCCCTGCTCTTCTCTCTCTGTTGTATCACCCCTCCTTGCTGGTCTTCTCCTTAGCTTATGACCTCGCTGAATCTTCTCTCCCTACATGCATGCACACTCACACTAACGTCTACCCAAAGATCTACTCTGAATACATGCACTGACAACTCTACTAATCCCTCTGACGTCTACTACTAACTGTTTTGTTAGTACTAACACTTCTGCACTGGCTCAGCTATGGCTGCCTTCCCCCTGCCAGCGCTATCTTCCTCTCTCTTCCTCACTTGAGCGCAGCACTCTGGCCTCAGCGCTCTGCTCCTCACTTCAGCGCACAAGTGCACCATTACTTCCACACTTCTTGCGAATTAGCTATCTGCCCGAATGTGAGGCTGGCCAGTCCATTTGTAGTCTTGGTTTGCACTTCAACTCGTGCCAGCCTCTGTTTCTTGGGTCCTGTCTGGTTCCGGTACCACTTCCCCACGGCCTGCTACTGAATGTCAAGGCCTGGAACCTTCCCGAATTTCCATTCAACTGCTGCTGCTTGGGCCTTTGAGTCCCGACTTTTCACTTGTGAAGTTGTGAACATGACTTTTGACTGTGGACAGTGTCTTTTGCCTGTGGGTCAAGCTTTTTCCCTGTGGTACTACCTTTTACTCGTGGGATGTGTCTCTTCAATATGACTTTTCACTAGGAAACGTTACTCCTGTCTTGAGACATGACTCTTGCTTGGTGAATCTGCCTTTTCACCCGTGGAATGGGACTCTTCTGAATGGCTTTTATTATGAGACGTGACTCTTGTCCCTGAGACGTGACTGTTTGCTGGGTGCCCGTTGGACCAGACTGCTGAGGTACCCGGTTGTGACTTTTCTGAGTTTGACAGACTCGGCCTTTCCGTGACCTGGGCATCTGACCCTGAGGTCCGAATTTGGGGTCTGAATCGTAGAAGGCCTTTCATATAGCACGACTCCACTTTTTGCGGCTACAGCACAATGCACCGCCCAAGTGCCTGGGCAAGAACTTAGGAGTATATATATGTCCCAAGTTTGCTAATTCATTTATGGGATTTTGTTTTACAGCGGCTGTCTGTGGCCACGGCAGTTACTTCACCAGAAAGCAAGCCACATGCATTCATCTGTGCTGAGCTTCACTACCCTGCATGTACTCCCAACGCAAAAAGAAGAAGCGAAAGAGGGATATTCCCAAAAAGACACCTGGTCATTCCATGATGGCCTACGCATTTTCGTCAATGATGATGATGGTGATTCTGACAATCAAGCTTACGTCAATGCGGATGGCGATGCTGATGGGGATGGGGGGATTTTGTGTGGGGATGGAGGGGGGATGGAAGGGGGACGGAGGGGGAATGGAGGGGGAATGGAGGGGTCTGGGGGATTGTTGTGTGTGTCAAATTGTTTGCTAGTCACATGCTTCCAAGGATGGAAATCGCCCGCTTTTGATCAGCCTCCCTTTGGGTTGCCTTGTCGGTATTGCGTCAACCATGGTCGCCCAGTCAGCCGGTGAGAAGAACTACCTGTACTATTTTACCAAGTTCCAGTTTAAGTTCCACTAAGTTCCACTAAGTTCCACCATGTTCCATTTGAAGTTCCTCTAAGTTCCAATTTAAGTTCCAAGTTCCACCAAGTTCCAATTTAAGTTCCACCAAGTTCCGTAAGTTCCACCAAGTTCTAATTAAGTTCCACNTAAGTTCCACCAAGTTCTAATTAAGTTCCACCAAGTTCCATAAGTTCCACCAAGTTCCAATTTAAGTTCCACCAAGTTCCATAAGTTCCACCGAGTTCCATCCCTGCAATCATCCCAATGATGTGCCTGTTACCACCCAGTCACACTGAATGGTAAATTAATACAAAGTTACAAACGTGTCGCTGTTAGTAAACCAATCACGAGTTCAAATCCTGATGGAATCGGATGTAGGGGCTGCCCCACTGATAAAAAAAAAAAAAAAACAGAAAACTGCAACAAAGAACACCCTTGTTGAACTTTTTTTCTTGTTAATACATGGATGGACTGCACACTTCTTCTTCAAAGAACAAGGAAAAAATATGTCACTCTGACACTCTGTCAATTATTTTTTTGAGAAGGCAGCTCACATTATCCATCAATGTCCGCCCGGAAAATCGACTATAAAGATTAAACACCATCTGTGCACACTTGGGGAGTGTGGGCAGAGGAGGAGAAAGTCTCAGAAAATGCACCGGTAGCGGCGGCAGGAGAAAAGTTCAGTAGTCATACCCTGCCGGTGAGTTTTCTGCGCTTTTCCCCCTGCGCACACTCCCCAAGCGTGTGTAGGTGGTGTTTCTAGTCACCAAGTCAGGATGAATACAGATGCTAAGCATGTTTTTTGGACAAAGACTACATCTATGCATATGCGTCGGGTTCTGGACTCTGTTCGTTCTGACGTCAGCTTCTGGATTGTGTATTTGCATTTCAGGACGAAAAGCGGATTCTGTATTTTGTTATGATCCCGACGATTTTGAAGTGCAATGACACAAAGAAAGACAATGCTGTTCAATTGCAACTGAAATGAAAGAACTTGGAAAGAGAATAAAAGACAAAGGAGGAAGAAGAAGAATAAAGAATGGAAGAAGAAGAAGAAGAAGAAGAAGAAGAAGAAGAAGATGTACACCAGCAAAGACCGATTTCAAATCCCCCTCCATCTCACGTTCACATACAATATAAACAATGATAATAATAACAATGAAAGAAATGAACCAGAACCAGAATCCGAATCTCCTCCTTTCTGCCAGGCCAGCAACAAATGAGGTCCACCATAGCCACAACCTACACCTTCTTCCTCCTGCCATGGTACCTGGCTATGGCGGACAAGTGCGGCCTTGCCCCGATGTTCAAAGGACAACGCGAAGCTGATGTTTACCCTCTACTCAGGCCGCGATGCCCAACTCTGCCCTGAAGCCTTCCTTGACGCAGCGTGTACTCCCACACTGCGGCCCTCCAAGTGCAGTGCCAACCAAGAAGATGAAGATCCCGTCCACCCTAACAGTGTAAGTACCCCGTCACTCTCCTCCTAACCCACCTTTTTCCTCCTCCTCCTCCTACTACCTGAGCTGCTCCGCCATAGCTGGAGCTGGAGTGCCAGGTCTCCTTCTCCTCCCCAACGCTGGACTGGCCAAGCACTCGCTCCGGCAGCGTGACACCAAACTTGCTCTCAACAAATGAGGAAGAGCTCATTGCTCCTCCGAGAGGTATACAGAGCGGCTTGCCTCTTGGGTGGTGACTTTCCAGGCCGCTTGCCCTCCCAAGTAACCGGTACCTTCCTCCATTTGGCGGGAACCATCATAGCAGATCTGATGTCGTTCCGAGACTCAGACTACTGGACTGGTACCCCAAGACCTGGGCCTACTGGACTTCTAAAATTCACTCGGCCTCTAAGGTACGGTTCGGAGAGGACGGACTCGAGGAATCACCAAGGGTGTGAAAGTTTCACTCTATTCTTTATTGTGGTTTATGACCGTTTATCTTCATATTTTTCGTGGTCTTTACATAGCCAAATTTAAGAAGAATATTTTCTATAGAAGGCTAGTGCACTGCAAGAAATATCGCCTTCGGTACCTTCTGAAAAAAGTGCTTATAGGCAAAATACGAAATTGTTATTTCAAAGTCGTGCTCTCCGTCAACTAACAGAAATTCATTAAATAACACATGGCAAAAATAAATTAGCTATTCGTACTAACTTTTTGTCTTCTTCTGCCTACCTACCCGCTACTCAAGTATTTTCCACCTCCGCAGGCCTAACCTACCCTATACTTCTAAAGTGTGTCCAGCTGTGCCAGCCTTGGCCACGCTACATCCCCGCCTTTCAACCACACAAAATCACGACGGCCACAGGTAAGTACGAGGCTCGAGGGCCTTCCCAGCATAATCTAACTGAATAGGAGTCTCGGAACGGTAATTCACCCTTATTTTGACTGTATCGGGCTGGAAACATGCCTTGTAGACATTCATTATCAGGGTGTGTTACGTTCAGAGAAAGACGGTGGTATCAGGAGAAACCGCGATTTCTCTGCCCGCGATTTCTCTTCGCTTACTCTTTAAAACTTACAGCGGTCGACCGTGACGCCCCCCGCGGGCCCAGGAGAAACCGCGGGCAGAGGAAGGTGAGGCCCCGCCGGGCGGTCCCGTGGCGTTCCTTGTGTGTTGCTGCGGGCAAAGCGGGAGGAAGTGGTGGGAACATGAGGTCCGCCTGCGGGCATCGCAGTTGTTTCTGCACTGCTTCTTTTTGCCCGGTACGACCGCGCAGTTGTTTTTGCATTGCTGCTCCTTTTTTTTTTGGTCCTCCTTTTGTCGCTTTTTCTGGTTTGACGCAGCCAGAACTGGACGAAAGGCAGGTATAGGGCGTGCGTCGTCGGCATCTTTTCATCATTTTGTGGGTAGGGGGCGGATGAGTTGTCCTGGGAGGACGTATCCGGAGTTGTCCGACCAGAGAACTCGGACCGGACAACTGGGGGGGTCCCAGATGTCTGCCCCGGTAAAAGCTAGCAATTTTTTTGGGTGACCTTGATAAGAACTTGACGACAGCTCCCCAAAAATTGCCCGATAGGCCTTTTTTCCCCTCATGCTGTGAGGGGAAATTCTGCGGCAACCAACCACTTTTTGGCAATGGGCGGATAACGGAGTTGCGAGGCTGTGTGTGTATATCCGTTCCAGGTCTTCCGATCCTCCATGGGCTACCTGGGTCAAATCCGGAGTCCTGCACGTCAAGGCTCTGTGAGACTCGGCCACGAAGGACGAGGAATCAGAAGATCAACTGAGACTTGTGCTTGATTATGCTCATCACCTGCCCAACAATTAAGAGCATATCTTTTTTTTTTTCAGGACCTCTGGCCTGGGTAGTCACACTGAGGAATGGCCCACCCTATTAGAGGCGGACTGGGTGGTTGCACATTAACAAAATGGTCAGCGAGTCATTGAGAACATAGTGAAGGTACACACCCAGAAGCAGTCCATGTAGACGTCTTTAGGCTCTCCATGGGGATCATTCCCTCTCATGCTTTCAACCTGACCGCAGGGGGGAGTATGTCCTGTCCACATCGCTCTACAGAGTCAGAGATACCAATACCACGCTCCGCCACTCAAGGATGGTGTGTCTGCTTCTAGGAAGATTCCCATGACCGGCCGGTCACCCGGTCATCACGACCGGACCGGTCCCATGCCCGGGTATCCCATTCGTCAAAAAAAGGGCCCAGAATTTTTTATTTTTTATTTTTTTCGCGGGGTTGTTCCGCGCTCGGTCTGTAGACCCCAAATCC